AATTAGAAAGGTGTCGGGCTGCAAAAGGGAATACATATGCTAGCAGGAGTGGTATGACCGTTCCGTGAACTTGGTTTACATTGTTCGATATCAAAGCAGTCGGGTCATACGGCCCTACGACTGCACGCCTGTACGTCCGTCCAATTAGGAACACAAAATTCATATTTTAATTCAGCGGCGCATTCCGATTCTGCTTCGAATGTAATTTTAAGACAGGCGGCAGGCACTGCTGACGAGAATCTAGTATGCTAAAGATTTGACCTCGACAGGTCAGGAAACAAAAGTAGCTTACAAGGATCTCACCTAAAAGCTATCTGGAAAACAGATGTTCCATCATGCCTTCCTATAAGGGGGTAGATGACCACTCATTACATGCAATGTTTCCTTTTTGACGATCTTGAGGCAATCATCAGATATGATAAAACAAGCTCGCTTATAACTATTGGTATAGTTTCAAGTAGAAAACACTGCTCTATGTAGATAATATTATTTCTCTGTTTAGTAAATATGCTTATCGATGCGTTATTGTTTGATTACATCATCGTATCTTGCACACCATTTATTGAGTGCCAATTGACGGTCGTTATATCTGAAAATCTCGCTCACGAACGCCAAAAATGAACGCCTAGACACTTATACTTTTATCGGTCTTGATCGCCGCATGACTTATGGAATGACAGGTTTTCCATGCCATTATATGGTGCCATGAATGCCAAGGTGACCTCGAAATACTCTCCCCGAAATACTCTCCCCATTTTCGCGGGTGTGTAGTTCAGAAATAAGAGGAACTTTAGACTAGGGACAGGACTAAGTCTCCAGAAGAGCAGGGTTGCGAACTGCACCAAAAACTTTTCAAGATGGCTGTTTCGATTCAAAACCCCGTATGAGTATGGAACGTTTCTACTAACTTAAACAATGAGGCAGAAATGAGCAATGCAAATGAGCAATGCAAATCTAAACAGTTTCTACCACATTAGTGAGGGAAGGGTGAGCGCACGGGCATAGTCAGGGGCTACGACGAAAGCGGTCACCATGCTTTTTTGCGATGAGGGATTTTTGCGAGTAAGCTACAGGCCCAATAGCATAACCCATGCACTGCGAACAGACTAACAGGCCGCGTAAACGTTAGTAGGTACAATGACAGTATCTAGAGTGTCAATAAATTACTGATGTTGGTTTGCAATGGTGCCATATACAGTTGTCTCAGCTGCGTACCGTCTTTATTCACACCATTGTCCGCTGATGTTGATGGTCTTTGAGATTGAAAACCGAAGTAGTTTTTCCCATGACCAAATTGCAGGATTATATTCAACAGTGTCGTTATTTCAACCTTCCAGGGAGAAAGTGGAAGCATGTTGTGAATAGAATACTTTAATACGACAGTAAATAAATTCGAATTGTTTATTCAATCATGTGGACAAATTCCATACCGGATATGCCAATTAATCAAGAGAACCAACCCAGAATTTGATGCGGCCTGAATGGAATCCATTAGGGATTGGATTGTATTTCATCAGAGTCATGTACGACTGTGGTTGGAAGTCAGCTTTACCATCAGAGTACTTTTTTCTGCATGCCAATGGCTGCATTTTTGGGTCAAAAACTTCGATTTGTCGCCTGAAATTTCTTTTTATGCGAACAGGTCCCGTAAAATACCTTTTCCCGTCAAGCAGGACGAGTGAAGATGCAAACAATGCGCCGATATCAGATGTGTCCTTGACGTAAATCAAAATTGCCATGACGGAACCGGTACAACTCATGAAGGTACTCGCATTGGCGCACCTTGTGCTGATCGGCTGTCATTTCGAGTCATGCCAGAACTTAAGGGGCCGCCTATGGAACATACTGCGCACTTACGCCGTTTTCAGTTTCCTCCCCATGATTACGCTCTGGTTACCATGATTACGCTCTGGTTACCGTGATTACGCTCTGGTTACCGCGGGGGAAACCCCCTAGCCCGGTTACGCTGTCATATCAGGGAGCAAGATCTCGACATGATTCGTAACCACAACTGGGTGTAAAGCTTAGTTGTACTAAGCCCCTTCTCCTCTTCTAATGCTCAACTTAGCTCAATCCGGACGAGGGAAAGTGGCTCAACACCTCTCCCCCTATCCATGCGTCACGTAATTTATGAACGAACCCTTAAAAGCTGTTAAAATATGACCCAATTTAACCCGTCACAGGTCAACGCTCTTATGCGACGGGTCCCCAAAGCGAAGGCAATGCAAATTGAATTTCTTGCTCAGCTGTTCTATTAATATCTTTGAAAACCATGGTAGCATTTCGAAAGCGTTCCCCACCCTTGCTTTCATCCGCATTTCAATGCTATACGGCCAATGCACTAGCTTTGCTAGCTGGCGGCTCGGATTCCTCCCGGTACAGCTAGACCTCACCCAGCGCAGAGCAGTTGCTGCTTCTGGACGATAGGTTCCTTGGTCAGCCCACTCACACCAAGCGGGGACGTCGAGGCCCTAACCGCTGCCTCGTGGACGAGGGAGCTATAATTGCCAAGGCGCAATGGGTTCGTCGCAGCCGAAGCCTCCGATGCACGTGACACGATCTCGGACGAATGCCGCCAGGCCTCGCCTTATCACTACTAGCGAACCGCAGCGGGTAGGAGCCATGATTCACAGAAGCACGAGTACACAGTGGGGTGCCGATGAGTTACACAAATTCGTTTTTTTGGAAATGTGTACGCTGGTGACTGATTGCCTGCATTGTCACACATCTTTCGCCATGCAGATACTCCCCGACTATTGGAAATTAATCTGGTTCATCTTCGCCAAACCATTTCAGAAAGCCTGCAACACCAAATAGACCTCCATCTATCCGGCTATTTGCATGTAACAGCGATGACACATTACCAAGTGTACCACACATAAAGATTTGCAAGTATTTCGCTGAGCACAACACTCTCTCCCATCACACATAGCTTCGGACTTATTTCTAAGCCGACGCGCCGGTGCTTGGTGGGCATTGTTTGATCGCGGCAGTGATCGCGACCCACCAACACTGACTCCGCTCCTCAGCATCGTCTGCCTTCATGCGGGCACAGCATCCTGATGGCCACACCAGTGCGTTTTCCTGTTTATTTGGCACTGCAGATGGGGGAGAAGGGCGGCCTGTGCGGCACCGGGGCGCCGTCTGATACACGGCAGAAACACCGTCGCGCCGCCGCGACATGTCTGCCGAGCACACGTACATGTGAACACAATGACCGAAGTCGGGCGGCATTCTGCGCCGGGCGAGCCGATGTGTTGGTCACGGAACTTTGGCGGCGAATGGGAAGGAGGAGGGAAAACAGTACGTAGACAAGATGTAAAGCTTCAGGAGGGAAACTCAGAGGAAAGAGGCCGGCCGAGGAGATGCGGCATCCTTCAGTATGATGTTCTTCACGAAGATGAGAGTTAGTTCGCCGATCGAGGGAGAGCAGGAAACACCAAAAGACAACGAAGTAGACGGGGAAGAGGGCGCCCGAAGGAGGAGGGCGCGGACATAGAAAACGGGGCGGGAGAGAGCGAAAGTGATGTCATTGGCAGTGCGTACGAACTATACTTTACATATTGCTAAAAGTGACCGGTACGGAAGGAGCGCGTCTCGAGCCATTCGCACAATCGCGGTCTACAGTGGACCACTCTCTCCTGAACAGTGGACCACTCTCTCCTGAATTGACTCGCTCCGCCGCTGGCGGCAAGCGTTTCCTCCGATATCGAGCCTCCACGCGCCGTCGCTCCAGGTAATACTCTAATGACGTCACTACTGCTGTGAAGAGGGCGGGAACAACGCAAAAGTTTGAGCGATGGTTCATTGAAAACGCACGTGTTGTATCACAAGAGCTATGCCCCCACTCCGCCAGAGCCGTCGTGGTCTCGCGCGGTGTTCGTCGAGCTCCCCAACAGAAATCAGACACCGTACTGTACACAAAGAAGCCGTACACTACAGAACAGACAACGTGCGTGCCCAACGGAGGCCTCCCTGGCCCATCGCTCCACGCACACGCTCGTCGATCGGCCAGCCGGACAATGGCGATCGCCTCCGCAATAGGCCCCCGTCTCCAACAAACCGCAAGGCCCCACGGTCTCCAACGCGCGCCGGAGGCTCGGAGATCAACGGCGCCCTTCGTCGACGCGCGGCGAGCCTCTGGCGGAGACGAACGCGGCGGCGGAGTGTGCGCGCGCGGCACTCGCGCCGCGGCGCCCGCGCCACCGGGCCATCATTGTACCTACTGGCGTCGGCGCGCTACGAGCTGGCGGCGGCGCACACGTCATCGATGTGAGATCAGGGCCTCCCGGGGCGCGATTCCCGGACGACCTGAGATCGTCGACACCGCTTGAACACTTTGGGCTCCTGTTCGGGCAAGCTACGCGAATGACCTGGATTGCTGGAGGTGCCACCCTTTAAACGGGCGTTTCGTTGGCTGCCGAGACACGCATCATGCCATTCAGGAAGTGGTGTTCAGTGTGACAAGTTTTAACCGTAGCTGCAGATGTGCACGTCATTTTGAGATCTCCACTGCGGCATCGTGTGCCCTTCCAGACCAGCGCTCACTATGCCCCAGTGGAACACACCGCGGCCGCACCAGCGTCCCCGGCGCCCCTCAGACACCTCGCCACCCGCGTCCATCCCCTGTCCCGCGACACTCAACACCCACGGAGACCCGTGCCGCCCTCCGACGCAGACACGACACAACGACAGAAGATCACACTCATCCAGCTATCACCGGCGCTCCTATAAACCTCGTAATAAAAACACCACCGCGCCACGCGCCGAGTAGCCGAGGCGCGCGCAGACGCGCGCCGTGCTGGCGCGCTGGCACCGCTCTGAGCAGGGTCCCTGCCGCGGCGGCACGCTGCTCCGGTGCTGGGGCCTCGCTGCCTCGCGCGTCACTGGCCAGACGGAGAGACGCGGAGCGCCGGCGCGCGCCGGCAGGACGCGGCGCGCGGGCCGGCGGCAGGGCGAGGACGGCCGCGGTAGCCGGGCCACTACCGCGGCGCCCCGTGTCAGTGCGAGTACTCGGGGAAGCCGTGCGCCAGCTCCGAGTCGTCCGACTGCGGCGATTCCAGCGTGTAGGGCTTGATTTGGGCGGCGGCGGCTGCCGCGGCGCCGGCCGCCGCCGCTGCCGCCGCCGCCCGGCCCGCCCGCGCCAACGCCCGGTCCAGGAAGTCGTCACTGGAACAGGCCCAGGCGGTGACGGGCGCGACGTGTATTGCTAGCATGTTGACGGCGTGTTGACATGTGACGTTCTGCTGTTGACATGGTGGGTCAATGTAATCGCGGAACATCTGCCCGAAAATCCTAACCTTCTTAGCGTTGTATGAAAATTGAGGGAATGGCGGGCGGGGGGGGGGAGGGGGGAGGAGGAGGAGTCTCAATGATTATTAATTCTACTTAATCCCGGGACCAAATATTCAGCGTCAAATAAGAGCAAGCACTGCAGCATCCCAGTCGCCGTGCATTGTGAATGCGTGGCGTCATGGCCAATTGCAAATCGAGCTGTTTCAGTGGCGCAGTAACTGGGGACGGGGAAGGAGCCCCTCAATTTAATGATAATTTAACATTGACCCTACAGGGGTTAACTGGAAAAAGAGCTTTCGGTAATAGAACATTACGTTAAACTATCGCCCATGAGCCGCGCAGTTCCCAACGCCGTTCGAGACATCTCACCACGTGAAATTTACGCGGAACGAGGGGCAAAAGCGACAGCGAACCGCCCCTTGACATTCGGCGTCATTGCTCGATCCCGGCGACCGGCGGCGGCCAGGGAGCCACGGAGGTCTGCGGCGGCAGCGGCGGCGCCGGCTCACCTCTCCGTCTCGCCAGTGACGGCCGTGCCGTCGTCGGTGAAGGGCTGGCTGGTGCCCTCCGAGGTGCCACTCAGCTTGTCCGATGTGGAGCCGCTGGCTGGCTCCCGGTACCGGCCCAGTACGAAGCCGGCCGGGCTGAACTCGCCGCGTCGCCTGCTGGAGCCGGCGCACATCAGACAGCGGGGTCAGCGGCGCCCCGCCCCGCCCCGCCCCGTCCCCGCCCCCGCCCCGCACCCGCCCCTGCCACCGCCCTCGCCCGGTCCCGACCCCGTACTGACCGCCAGTGGCGCGGAACTCCGACCTCACCGCTCACGAGAACAGCAGGGAATCACGCAACCACGGAGCATCTCGTGTTTAGCGTCACGTGGCTGACAGAACGAAGTTGACGTATCGCCTTGGCGCGCTGGTCCAGCTCTATATAAAGGTCCACGAATTCAGCATATACACAGCGGACATCGATTATGTACATACACACAGGAAGCTACCGAAGACTGGCAAGAGCACAGAGAACAGAGCGGGAGGTGGGGAGACACCGGCTGTGGAGAGACGCCGCTCCGCGGGCACCGGTGAGCCGAGGGCCAATGTGGTGGCCGAACCCAGTGCGACGCCGCTGCCACTGCTGCCGGAGACGACCACATGACGGCCGGGGCTAGGCCGTCCCGAAGCTCCTGCCCTGGTCTGCAGTCGCAAAGGGCGTGCGACGAGAGATTTCGGAGACAGAGGCCGATCCGGCGCGCGCAGGCTGAGGTGCGCAGGCTCCGGGCGCGGTAGCCCCGGCTCCCGATGCCCGGGAGCGCGCGCCCGTCCGCAGCCGCCGGGCATGCAGGGAGGATGACCGGGCGGGGGCGCAGCTACCACCATCTATCAACAACCAGGCCAACTAAAACTTCCCGCGGCGGTCACGCACCCCTGCGACTCGGTGCAGGAGGAGGACTCAAGCCGGAGCTGGCGGTCGGCCTCGGTCTCGCTCAGCCGCAGGTCGTCCGAGCTGGATGGCGAGCGCAGCCGGTGTGGCGGCTGCTCCAGCTGGCGGATCAGGTCCTCCAAGTTGCGGATGCGTATGGTGCCGTGGTGCGGCAGCGTGTCGGCTGAGTCCTCGGTCGACGCGAGCAGCGACGCCCCCGCCCGAGAGAGTTCAGGATTGGAGCTGAGGGTGAGAGACTTACGCAGCTCGTCCGAGTACGAGGTGGACGAGGTGCCGCGCGTGCTGGCCGCGTTGCGCAGCGCCTCCAGGATGTCCTCGTGGTATCCGTTGAGCGACTTGAGAGTGCGCTCCACCTCCGTCACCTGACCGTTGGTGTCAGAGTCGTGGTTGTTGTCTGACTGCGAGAGCACTTCGTTGTTGTCCGACTGGCTCTCCTCGGCCCAGCGGTCGCCGCCGACCGAGCCATACAGGCTGCCGCTGCCAGCTACCGCCTTCTTCAGGATGCCCTTCTCCGGCGGTTTGCTGATGTTGTTGCCGCGCGGGTCCAGGAAGCCGTCGTCGTCGTCTGCGAACGCATCCGCCAGTTACCAAAACCACCGATGAGGTCAAAACAACTGGCAAGACAACTAGTGAAGGGCCAGTGTCGTTGACTAGATATTGTCCTTGCTAGACACTAGATCCCGAGACCAAGAGCAATCACGTGACGACGAGTCCAGTAAGCAGCCTTACCGCCTCATGCCGGTTCACCCCTGCACCGCGGTTACCTGGCTCCAGGGGTGCGGCGGCGCCCGCGCCGGGGGGCAGCGGGAGGCCTCCGCGCGGCGGCAGGCCGTGCACGCCGCCGTGCGCGCCGACGTGGGCTGCGTGGGCCGCGTGGCCCGGGTGGCCGCCGTGCGTCGGCGGCCCGGCCAGCTGGACGGAGGGACCCGGCAGTCGATTCGGCGCCACCGCTGCTGCCGCCGCCGCCGCGCCGTGCCCGGGCCCGTAACCGCGCGGGTTCGGGCTCTGGCGCTGTTGCATCTTGTGCTCCCTGGGGAACGACGAACTGCATTCAGTGACGCGGTTGGCCGGCGGCCGGGCGGGGGCCGGCCCGACAGAGGTGGTGGGCGCCGCACGAGACCCCAAGAAGGCAAAGAACAAAAACGGTCTTCGATCGCACCGACCAGGCAGGGCACGGCTCCAGCGCTAGCACGGCGGTAACATGAAAAGGCACAGAATGACCCGAGTGTTCTTTGATGCCGTGTGCACGTAAATGTAGCTAAACACAGCTTGCCGATTTTATATGATTGGTTCGGTGGGTAAAATACAACACGAAATGTATTTCACCGAGGTCTAAAAACAACAGGTTATTGCACCACTTTATACTATTGATTGCGATATCGTGCAGAGATCTTCATCTCACAGCTGTTTAATTATCAGTCTCATCCATGCGCGCCATCAAGGCTGCATGCGTAACGCAGGTTTTGGCTTCCAACGTCAGTTTCATCGTTCGCGCAACTGTGGCTGCTCTAGTGTTAACAGTTTTTTCACATAATATTGAAGCATCATATCCGAGTCCAGAAGTCGAATTCAAGACACACTTAACGCTGAAGCACGGAAAAAAAAACGTATGGATTAAGCTGATCAATCGGTTACATCCATAGAAGCCTGTAAAATTGAGCGATGTCTTACCATTTAACGTTCCTCTTATCTATTTCGGGCTAAAACGATGAATCATCGCACTCACTGTGCTCTGTATTCAAGCGCTAAACACGCGCACGCGCACGCACCGAGCTATTCTCCAGAGCATGGGCGCTGAATCCCTGACCGACTGTTTCGCCTCACCACGCCAGGAACGGAGCGTGTCGTCAATCGTATTACACCAGACAACAGATCGCATGCAATCCAGGGCAATATTGTTGACGAGAAGCATCGAATTCGGTGCGTTAGCCACGTCCAAAAACAACACTATGGGCTGCTCCGTTCAGGTATGCAATGATACCGCGTGACGCAATGTGCCGTGAACAGCTCTAATTTATGCGACAGCTGCATTTTGATGGGTGGTCAAAGGGCATATTTGACAACTCCAAGTAGTTTCCGGCTGCTAGGTGAAGACTGCTTGGTGTCATCGCCGCAGTCTTCACTAACGACCTTCAAGCGAACATTGCTAGCAAAATGTTCTGTCTCCCGTTGATGTCACCGCATGGTATGGATCAAACACGATAACCATTGTATGCATCTTGCTTTCGGGAGGCCGTCTATCGTGGGACATCTTCACAACGGTGCCTTGACACACGCAACTGAAGAAGACGGGGCCGGACTGTGGAGCTCGCTGGGCTGGGTAAACTTGTGTTGCTTCCCACCCACCTGGCAGTGGCCAGCGAAGAAGAGGGTCGTACGTGCGCAGTCTGTTTACACTGATGTACTGAGCAGGGCATCACAGATACTGTTTGTTCCTATGCGAATGCAATGAAGAATGTGGTGCTCTATCAACACTGTGACGGCGAGCATCTATAGCCATACTCCGGTGACTTTTTAGACAGAGTAACGGATGTTGTGGCAGTCGTCCTTATCATGGCGCAGGCCAGACTTGGCCAGCACGTGCCGAACCTCGCGCTTGCAGGCGGTGTTCATCAGCGTAGTAAAACGAACTATTAGGGCGGGGAATAGCGATGCACTCTGTCTCTGTCTCTGTCTCCCTCTCTGTCTCTGTCTGTCTCTGTCTCTGTCTCTCTGTCTCTCTCTTTCGTTCTTTCTCTCTGTCTCTGTCTGTCTCTGTCTGTCTCTATAAACCTAGATGTATATTCTGCACATGTGTTTGAACGGCACTTTGAACGCTGGCCACCCGCCTACGAAGCCTTCCGCCTCACCTTGCTTCACTTTGCTCAACTTGTTGCATAACCCAGACAGTTTATGATGGCCAACGTATTGATTGAGGGCCAAAAAACAAACAAATCTTATTCCCGGTATGTTATTAAACTGTTTTGCTTTTTTCATACTCCTGATCAGTAACATTATCCAAGAACATGAACTGAAGGGAACTTTTATTGTAAGAAGGATTGAAAAGCTGTGTAAAAGGGTCATTAATGCAGCACAAGCCGTGGTGTTCGATTAACAGGGCATGCTACTTATACATACGTATATATATATGTATATATATATATATATATATATATATATATATATATATATATATATACTACCTCCCGCAACACAACGTAGCAGTCGGATCGCCGATGACCGCCGTCCTCACATCACCTGACCACAAGGTGCTCCCAGGTGTCCTGGCTCCCAGGCCCCTCCCCGCCGCCCCGCCCCATCCCACAGATGGCTCGATACTCCTCAGAGGTCATTTGCATGCCGGGGAACGCTGCCGTCAAATGGTCGCGGCGGCAGCCGGACGTCCATGCGCTGGCCACCCGCCTACGAAGCCTTCCGCCGTCCCAGAATGCTTTTAGTTCAATTGGTCGACTTGGTCGTCGTCGTTGCCGACATAACCATTACCACTCCCGCTTGGTCCACTTTGTCCCAGAGTCACTTTCGGATTCAGCCACCGTCCGTTTTCTTGAGCTTTCGAAGTTTCAAAACGATTCGAAGTTGTGCCCGTCGTCGAATTGCCGCCATTGTTCGCACGATGGAATACGAAAATGCGGGGCGCTTGCTGAGAGCTTGACGGCAAACCCAACATGATTCGTGATCGTCGCGTTCGGGTGTGGAGAAGCCATAACAGATCGATCACACATACGTAAGGGTGACATAATCACATGATGCGGCACTACTCCATACATGCTTGGCACGTGTACACACGTACGTGACAAATCACTTGACATGGCACGACTCCGTGCCTACTTGACACATGTACACATGTACATGACAAATCACTTGACATGGCACGACTCCGTGCCTACTTGACACATGTACACATGTACATGACAAATCACTTGACATGGCACGACTCCGTGCCTACTTGACACATGTACACATGTACATGACAAATCACTTGACATGGCACGACTCCGTGCCTACTTGACACATGTACACATGTACATGACAAATCACTTGACATGGCACGACTCCGTACCTACTTGACACATGTACACATGTACATGACAAATCTGCCGCACGTGCAGCGTGGGACTCGGCATCCGACTGCAGCGAACAGAGCGGGGCGCCTGACAGGCACGAGCGCGCACGAGTCAATGCTTACCTGTACGAGGGCATGGAGCCGAAGGTGATCATCCTGCTGGCCTCGAGGTCCTCGGCGCTGCTGGAGCTCCTGTTGTTGAGCGGCATCGCCAGCGAGGGAAAGCCCTGCTTGTTTCCCATGTGGCCGCCATACTTGGGCGTGGTACTACGCCGCCTGCCAGACACAGTCGCAGTTCGGTCAGAGTCAGGAAGGCAGCCGGGCGGGGGTAGAGGCGACCCAGACCGGGTGTGACCCGAGGTGACGGGAGGGGCAGATGGACGGGCTCGAATGAGGTCAAACTCTCAGAGCCGGCACGACAGGCGGTCACGAAGAGGGCCTGTTCACGACCCGGAGGACCGGTGCAGGGAAATGGTGGCAGTGTAACCCGCCCACCAGACGGTGGAGTGCGTCCATGTTGGGTATTAACAACATCTCTGCTACGGATGACAACACGCACGTGCAGGTGGAGCAAACCGTTTTCAGATGACGACCGGTGTTGCTAATTTTATTTAATTTGCTACCACGATCGAGGTGATGTTACTCAGATAAACATATCATGGCGCGTGAAGTGAATACAAACAGTAACAAGGCCACTGCGCATAGAACATCACACCTCTACACGTGTCAATTATAATATCTTAGCACGACTATTTGCACGAGCATTATTTGTTTTGTCCTTAATGCATCGAGGAAACAGACACTCGTTTTTGAAAATCCAATACCAAAGCACACAATTGTTGTTAAAAAGTTTGCTCTCCGCAGACTACTCTCTGAAAATATTTTACGTGAGCAAGCCATTAGGGTGTACATTGTTTTCTGACCAACGAATGTCAAAAGACGCGGCAGATTTAAAGCCATTTAGACTAAAATAATGCTACTCATAACCTGATCTTTGGTTAGCGGTAGAGAAAATCTCAAGAAAACGAGGTTGTGCGATGAACAACACAAAAACATACAGCAGCACATGGGGAGGACGTAAACCATTTCTTTGGAGATGCGATATGCTATGCAACCATGGACAGTTATTAAGTCTTGAACAAATAACTTGTTAAGATCTGCAGCCACACAGGATGAACTGGCCAACCGAATGAACATTTTATACGTAAGTAAAATTGTTTTGTATCAACCAATGCTCATCAGTTCGGTTCGGGCTTGAATACGTTTATTTAACAACAAAAAGCCAATCATGCCTTCTTTTCCAAGATGAGCAAGGGCAAAGTCTCATTCTCGATACCGTACATTACAGATACCGTACAAGAATCTGTACCAGTTTTGAGAAAGCAAGGTTTCAAACGCTATTGTAGCACTCCCATAGCGCAACAAAAGGCTCGAAACTATTACAAAGTTCCCATCGAAAGCACATAATTCCGCTCTTCAAACTAGGATGCCAGATATGCACAAACAACATCGCTGACTGGTGTCATACATGACACATTGCGAGCAATTAGCGAGAAGAGGTTTAGTTGCTTCAGAGTTGAACGATGTAAATGGATGGCGCACCTAATGATGCTTTTTTTAACCCATGCTTGACGGAATACTATGCTACATGAATTTAAAGAAGTGAAAATATTGGCGCTTCGGCAGGTGTAAAATATACGTAAACCAGCAATTTATCGCAACAAAAAGAAGTTGAAAGCTTTTTGAAACTGTTTTGAACCAGCTTTGGCCATCGTGAAAGTCAACAGCTTGTGCATGACTATCAAATGCGAGCGACGATATACACTTGATATGAAGATGAACTGTTCAAAGCGGTTTCAGTCTATGACCAACCAGTGGAGTTTTCAGATCTTGTCATGAAACGCACAAAAGGTCTGTACAACTACTACGCCCAGTATGAAAAGCGGATCAGTGACTACCATCATGAAATATTAAACCGCCGCAGCCGTTGGCATGCAACACGAAACACAGGCATGCATGCGAGGTCTAAGTGAAGGCATGAGATACTGCGGCTACATGCAAAACGTCTGCAAAACATCCGCGAGTGAACAGCGCACACAGCTGAGGCCGAACACTCACAAGCACAGAGTCGCCGTTGCTGGGTCAAAAGCCACTTCTGAATCCAAAAATCCAAACTGTACCCAACAGTTCGCGATGCATTCCTTGCATAACGGTGCTCAAATACGCCTTTTAATCATTGCTAGGAAAAAATCAGCAGCCCCGGACCACGCAATCGGGAGCTGTGATCAGTACCTCTGTAAATTTTGTAGGCCAAGAAATGATGCTAGCAAAACCGAATGCACCGGTATGGCATTAGCGTGTTCAGGTGCACGGAAGCAAGACAAAAGGGGGCAGCTTTTAAAGAGAAAATAGCTCAGAATGAAGAAAATAGACAGAATCCACAGATAGGAACAAAACTGAAAAACTGAGAAACCAGACAACGCCACGAAAAACCGAAACTGTTTCACACAGAAACAAATGAACTGAGATTCTGAACATCCTGAACAGCTAGCCATATCCCGGTGAAAGTGCATCAATTTGTTGCATTGCGACCGATGCAGAGTGGTGACGTCTGTGGTTGTGAACGTGTACTAACCTGCCCACAAATCCGACTGCGACTGACCTGTAGCACAGCGCAACAAAGGTGAAGAAGAGAAAGATCAGTCCTACCAGCGACACCAGCATTATCACCAAATGGAGCGTGGAGCTGCCATCGTTTTTCACTGCGGTAGAAACAGAACGAGCAGGGTCAATGCATGTCGGCGCCATCTATCTGAGACACGTAAACACACGGACTCGAGGAGCGACCACGAGGTGGGCGTTCGGCCGAAGCTCAGGCCGTCGTGGTCGTCGTTCTGCGCCCGGCAGAATGCCTCGTCATGACCCAATGCAGTGTTGGACATCCCAACCCCGCCGTGTGCGGAACATCTGAAGGCTCGTGACCTCTCGCTAGCGTGACCCTCGACACCAACATCCCACGTTCGACGGGTCACTTTCGTCTCGCTGCAACGTACCACTGCCTGGGCACGGTTCCGAGGCACGGCCGGGTCGGGACATCCCCACGCAACACCAACACCAAGCGGAAGCGGCCAGCCGACGGGCGCCCCGGCGCATGCGCACCCGCAGCGCGACATCCGCAGGCGCGCAGGCGGGGCACACACGGCACAGCAACGGCCGGGCGGCCGGGCGCGCGCTATACCTGTAACACATGGCCACCAGTGCAAAGAATATAAAGATGCAGCCGACCAGGGTGACCAAGAGGATCACCAGCCACAGAGTCGTCATGGTCTCGGACGGGTCGACTGAAACAGGGCGGCGGTGAGGCGAGCTCGGGCCGGCTCCAGAGTGTTCAGCGCTCAGCCACGGCTGGAGGCGGCGTCCATCGGCCCGGCCGCCTTCCCTGGCGGTCGGCTCTAGGGCGGGGCCAGCTGGAGGTGGACCGGAAGCGTGAGGAGCGACGCGATGCTAGACCAGGATGGTGGCAAAAAATCGCGGGGTACAAGGTCGGTTTCAATAGATTTAAATGACTTGGTGATAAACGGTGGCCTGTTTCTGAATGTTCCAAAAACATGCCTGCCATGTGAACAAAATGCTGGAAATTATTGCTGAATGTGGTTTAGTGTTAAATGTCGAGAGCTGCGTATCACACAGGTTCCCAAGACCCATACAAACCAGAAAATTTTTCCTCCACATATACTGCCCAACATGCAGGGCTCCAAACAGAATCTCACATTGCAGAAGGTGGGATGAAAAGCGTTGTTCAGCAGCAAACCTCCCAATTTATTTTCATGGCATCTAGACTGGTTCAACGTTTCAACATGCAGATTAACGCATCAACGGCTCCGTTCGACAACGGGCTGCGGGGCCAGTAGAGATGCCAATGTGGGCGGCGTGTCGTCTGAACGTGTGCAGTCGCATTGGATGCGGTGTGCAATCTGTAGTTAAGCATTAGGCCAAAACCTTCGACCGTAGAATCAGCGATCAAGCTGGGCTAGCCTTGTTTTGGCAAAACCCATAATATCACACAATTTCAGTATTTAATAAATGCGTCGGTCAATGAGCCATCGTTTGATTATGCCGTGGTACCAAGCTGCTGATGCGCTCACCATGTCAGTATTCCACTGTAGCGGACGGTTCGCCTCACTTGCAGAACTTAAACTTGCCAAGAGGTGGCGGAGTGTTGCTGGAGTGTGCTTGCGGGAACCGAATATCGTCATGTGCTTGTGTTTTGGCTCTTTCTCGCAGTGTTCGTGCACACTTTTCCGTGATTTCATATTGTTGATTTGCATTCACATGACACCTTATGGCGATTTTCTTAATTTTCTTAAGTCATTCGATTCCCATTCTTATTTCTATCATAAATCTTACCTCTACCCAAATTACTGTGTGGTGCAGCACAGTACAGATTGTTGTTCAAAACTTGTGCTGAACGCATTACATTGGTTGAGGAGCAATTGAAACCTGTTGATGCCAGAAATGGGACCGACGGACGCCAGACACGAATAACTTGATGAAACCTTTTTCTTAGCCTTGAGCACTGCGTGGACAGTGAGGTGACAGTATTCGCGTGTCGTTCCTATGAAATCACGCATGCTTGGGTGGTCTTGGAAAAGTCTGCACGAAATAGTCTGCACAAGTTCGCGGGCGTCAAGCTCAGAAACAAGAGGGTTTTAAAGAGAATGTTCACATTGAAGATATTGAAGGAAGCATCAGATATGATGAAATAAACTCACTTATAACTATGGGTGTACCTTCAAAAGTGGAAAAGACTGCTCTAGACCAAAACACTCTTGTCTTTTGAGTAAATATGCCGCTGAACACACAATTGTTTGAGTGCCTCATGTAACGTTTTTAGGACGTTAGGGTACCGCCAAATTGGCCGTACGAAATTTTCACTTGTAGTACTTTATTCGTCAAGAGATGACAGCGCGGTTCTGGAAGTGTTCGTTGAGCCCAACAACGGTATAAGCTCGTGTTTTGGTCGTTTTCGTGGTGTTCTGCCACATTCATCCGTGAGTTTAAGATATTTACTTGTAATCACGTCCTCGGCCGTGGCCTTATTCTTAAAATATTTGAATACAGGTCTTATTTCCGTAACAACTAGCAAGTGAAGAAACCATGTCCAACTTCTCATGCTATGTAGCACGAAACGTGATTCGTGACTGAAGCTAGCATAGCTTACTCAACATTTTTTTTTGAGCGCCAATTGATGTTTACTATGTGTGAAAATCTTGCTCGCGGGCGCCATATCTGAACAGCTGGGCGGTAATTTTGTTCCTGACCTTGACCCTGCTTGGCCTACGGGGTGGCGAAATTTGAATGGCCTTGCCATGGCATCATGCATGGCGGAATGTCCTTGAAACAGTCTCCATGAAACATTCAGCATATCTTTGCAGGCGCATCGCTCAGAAATTGGAGGATTTTAGGCCTTAGAAAGTGCAGGGCTGGGCACTGAATGATCTTCAAAATGGCTTCTTCGGCTCAAAGGCCCAAACAAATGCGGAGCAATCCCCCTAAGTGTTAAAAGGGGCAGGGCTGTGAACTGCATTGTATTGTGTTCACAATCGCTCCCTCTATTCAAAACCTCAAACGAAGGTTTAAAGCTTCCTTTAATGCAAGGTTCTAGAACCCACTTATGATACTTGTGGGATTATCTCATACTTTGCTGACTACAACTATAACAATCAACTATAATAATTCCTTTAACCGTTTCATTTGCTTCATGGCTATCCAGCCCATTACAAATTCTTCCAGCACTCTAATAATCTGAAATACGACGGTCAAGTTTCGGGTGTAGCACAACGCAGGTCAATTACTCACTGGAAGGGTTTCCAAAAGCCTGCAATGAAACGGATGACCCGTCTCTTGCGTCTCATGTTCACCCTGATTCTACACCATTATTTTGACAACCGACCATGTCGTTCCTTTTATGCACCGTGGCATCATCTCATGACGTGCATGCGTCATCGTTGCCGACTGCACGATTACGGTTGCTATGGCAGTCACTCACAATGCGGCCGTTCGTGACGTATCTCATGGCTACCAGCTGTAATTTGTCTTCAGCATGCGGTCTGAGCGGCTGCCAAATCTCTGCCGACGACATGTGCCCCCGGGCGGCACGCTTGTTTTCAGCGGGAGAAGCGCCTTGGGCGACAGTTCTTGCCGGACGTAATTGGCCTAAGACCACTATTAATCATTACATTAAGCCACTGGAAACCTCAGACTTTAAGAGCACAGCCGACGAGTGCCCCCGGAAAAAGCGACAACAAAAGGCAACGCTAATTCAACTCGGCGAAATGCACACTACGTTGGGAATCCACGGCACTCCAGTGATAAACATCGCTGCAAATGAACTATAGGACTTGAAAACGGTGGAAAACTGGCGATTGCGCCACACACACAGTTGGAGCATTGCTCTCCTTTCATCGGTCGCAGCGGTAAATACAAACGCTCCAACATCGATTGGTTTTAAACAGAACTCGACGCTATGGAGCTTTGAGCACGTTCTTAAAGTGGCTTCTATGTGCGTATTTATAACATTATCGAATAAGTCAAACTTAATCATCAATATAGACTATCTCATACGAATTTCATCAGCAGTATGCCAAGAAAATGGTGAACGTTCCGGCAACAAATACCATATCAAGAGCGTTGCGATTCTCCAGACCGGCAGAGACCGAACATCCAGCGAAATGGAGTTGGGTTCTGAATTAACGCCGTTATTCAAAATTGATGCAGCATAGTTAGCTAAACAGCTTTGGAAGGGCTATTGTCTGCGGAAGATTGAGAATGTCATTGAATCTGGCAGCGAATGGTCGGTGGGAATAACGACGCATTGATCACATTGACTGTGGGTGGTGTGCGTGACCCTTAAAACAGATTGCGCATGCTGTATTCATATTCGATTATTGCGGCCTATCTTCGTCACTACGGTCCCGCGGGCTGGAGAAGCACCAAGAAAGCAAGCGCCAGAGATCACGCACACACGTATATATATATATATATATATATATATATATATATATATATATATATATATATATATATATATATGTGTGTGTGTGTGTGTGTGTGTGTGCGAAATTAAATGCAGATAAACACTAGCCACATCTTCTTCTGTCACTACATGACCGAAAGACGTGATAAATTCCCGAAGTGACAAAGCTTGCAAGTCCACTCTCAGCTCTATCTCGATGACTTGCTGCCCCTGGAAGTAAGAACGAAAAACAACAAACATACCTTCCCTCGTGGAGAGAACAAAAAAGATCGCACTTTAAACGCAAGTGAGAAACCTTCTGAAGATCGATGACATTGCCAATGCTGAGCTGAGTTCGCCCGCGTTCCACAGCCAGCGCATCAACGGCTAGCGCGCTGCGAGAGCAGAGGTATGCCGAACACAAACCAAGCGATTGGGCGGGTGGCATTATCTCCAACATTCGGCAAGGCCGCACAACAAATTCCAGCCAAGTCGTATAAACGGCACGGCGTCCATATAAACGCCAGAATGATGCCAGCGTATCACATTTAATTCAAGTGCGCGGTCTCGGTTACACAGCATTCTGGTACGTCCATACCCAACAATGAAATGCACCATAACCCGACGACGTGCTGTGCCGCTCATCTAAAGACGTAGTGCGTCACTTAGACAGCGACGAAGCGTTCTGCCTAGCCAGTGACGTGCTGCGCCATTTACCCTGAGCTGTGGTGAGTCGTTCACTCAGTGAAGTGGCGCGCCGCTTACCCCGTGGTGTAGCGCTTCGCCTAACCAACAATGTGGTGCGCCATTTAGCCTAGTGCGTACCCACCCGTGACGTACTAGTGCGTAACTGCGCAGTGACCCGGTACATACCCGATAAAGTCGTTCTTTGCATGCCCAGTGACGTGGTCGGTGATCATCCAGCTGTAATACGCAGCTTACGCGGTGACATGATGCGCCACTTACCCAATGGTGCGCCGTTTGCCCAGTGACGTGGTGTGTTATGAACCCAGTGGTGCGCCGTTTACGCGGTGACGTGGAGCGCTGTTTACGCAGTGGCAGGGTGCACCGCTTACCTAGTGACGTGATGCGCCGCTTACCCAGTGACGTGATGCACCGCTTACCCAGTGACGTGATGCACCGCTTACCCAGTGACGTGGTGCACCGTTTACCCAGTGACGTGATGCACCGCTTACCTAGTGACGTGATGCACCGCTTACCCAGTGACGTGGTGCACCGTTTACCCAGTGACGTGGTGCACCGTTTACCCAGTGACGTGATGCACCGCTTACCCAGTGACGTGGTGCACCGTTTACCCAGTGACGTGGCGTGCCGTTTACCTAGTGACATGGTGCATCACTTACCCAGTGGCGTGGTGCACCGCATACCCAGCGACATGGTGCCTTGATGCGCTGTTTACTCAGGGGCATGGCAGGCGTTTGCCCAGTAACGTGGCGCGCCGCTTGCTCCATGAGCTGGTGCGCCGCTTACCCAGTGACGTGGTGCGCGCGTTGGTGTCGATGGTGTCGAGCAGGCGGTTGTTGCTCTTCTCGGGCGGCTTGGTGGTTCGCGGCGGCGTGAAGAGGCCCGGCCGCGACAGCGTGGCGTTCGTCCGCCGCGAGCAGCTGGTGCCCGAGAAGCCCGCGTTGCAGAAGCACGTGTTCATATTGGTGCAGACCTGCAGGCGTCGGATACGCTGGCTGGGAGCTTGGGCCGGCCGACGCCATCGCCAGCCGGCATTGGCCGGCGATCCCGGCAAACAATCGTGACCAGCGACGACTGCCGTGAACGGCACGCCATACGTGCACAAAAAGCATTAACAAATGCTGCGAAGAGGGCAAAAAGGGCAGCCAATGTTCGTTGCCCTTGCAATGGCAACAAAAATCACAGAAATAATGCGCTGATTTCTATTTAAGCGGATCGAATGTCTACATACAGGCCATCTGGGCTGATATAAGAAAGCAAACACATCAAACGTTCCAAACGCACACGCACGCTGCCTTGCATGAAACCCGATCGAGTAATCGTCAAACGTGGCCACCTTTCAGTGGGCTTACACAAGTCCTCTGCCAGGTTCCCGTTCGCCGCTCTTCCCTCCAAAATATCTGTTGCGTCTCACCCCTCTCCCGGAGCATTCGTGACTGCCGTTGGTGGGGCAGCGGCCGCGATCGATGTGGGGGTAGATGGACGTGCAGGTCTGGTTGACGCAGATCATGTTGTTGCCGCAGCGCGTGCCGTCCAGCACCATGCCGTGGTCGGGGTTGCGCCGCGGATCCATGTTACCGCTAGCCACGCTGCAACGCATCGCTGATTTAGTGGTCTCAAACGAGCGAGACAAATGTGGTGGACGGCGAGGCGAATAAGCCGCGCCCGCCGTTACGTCCCTGCGAGGCGGCCATGGCTTCCCTTCAAGGCGCCTCCTAAAGCCTGGCGGCAAGCACGCTGGTATTATGCAGGCTTCCATGAATGTACGCTGCACAGCGAGCACATTGGGGAAGCCAGACAAGAATTGTTTGCAATTTGCGGCACGGCGACGTGATTTCATACGGTGCACGACGCCTTAATTAGCTGAAGGTTACACCTGAGCTCAGTGTTGTACTGTTCACCTCAACCCTCCTCTCTCTTTGACTACGTTTCTACGTTTCTCGACTATGCTTTGCTTCAACTTCATATCCCCTAACCTCCTATGTTCATGTCAATTCTTGACAAAGCTGCCTCGGCTGGTGGCGGCAATTTACGATGGCGCGTGACCGACAGATGTCCTCGGCACAAGTATCGTCAAACAAACTGACGCACACACGCTGGCATCGCCGAAGCAAACATTCGCGGCGAGCATCACCGTCGGATGAAACCCAAAAGCACAGGGCACGTGGTGCAGTCGCGACCTTATCCCACCAAAACCACCAACTATCGCGATCGAACTGACTCCGTAGCCGATGCCACACTTCGGCATCCAACAGCGCGAGCCTAAACCAATTTCCGCCGCTGGCAGGGGCGAAAATACCGTCCGGCGGTGTCCCCAGAGAGACGGAAGCCGCTGACCTGGCCGACAAGCAGCCGCGGGACCCAGATTGCCTGGCGGCGCTCCCGTATGCACGCATTCATTAGACGCAATGAAGACGAACGGCGGCATGACGGTGAGAAATTCGCGTGTTTGCCGGAGAGGTCGGCTGAAGCGACGAGGCCGGTCATCAGGGGTCCCGGGGGAGCGGGGAGGGGATGTTATTCACCGCCGGCGGCGCCGGGCCGCGGCGCGAGAGAGCGACGCGCTTGCAGTGGAACCAGCGCAGGGTCGCGACAAATACAGAGAACTGAAAGAGAGGTGTGGACATGACAGGGAACCACACTGTGACAGAGTGAGGCAGAAGACAAGCAGTGGAAAGAGGAGAGAAACCGAGGAGTAGGACGGAAGCGACAAGCCACCTGGAACATAAATCAGAACAGAAATGTGAGCTAAACAAGGAAGCGAGACGGCTGAAGACAAAGAACAGCCACAGCAACCCATTCCAACTAAAAGTCTAAGCATCAACAACGCCAAGAGATGCTCTCGCAGGTGCCAGAACGAGCTCGGTAGGCGCTGATCACGCCCTGGGCTCACTACTACGCTGGTGTTAGCCGTCTTACTTGCAGTGGAACTCCTTGCCGCGGATGGAGATGACTGTGCGCGAGACGGTCTGGTCGCCGGCGCCGCCGCCCGCCGCCACCACCGGGTTCGGGTAACCCAGCTGACACTGCAGCAGGCCACACAGCACGTTCCTGCGGGAGGCAGACGCGCGAGGCAGCCACGTGAGACGCCTGTCGAGCTCAGAGGTCGGAGAACGACCGGTCACCAGCTTAGGGAACGGAGCTGTGGCCTGGGTGAGCGTGGTGGTAGTGTCTCTTCTATGTCATGTTCGCACACACAGGTGGTAGCGCAATTCCGTGCGAGCTTGCTTTAGGTGGCGTAAGGTCTGAGTAAAGACCATATGACGGCTACATATGTAGTGCATGGGGTTTGCCCAGACCCAGAAAGACGCTATCCCAGTTACGAGGCATCCGCTTTTCCCACCTCTTCACATCAGATTTCCACACGCTTCCTCATGGCGGCCTTTGAGAGAATGATGTGATTGTAAAATGCCACGTAACGCTACATTCCCGCCGCAAGTTACGCTCCTTCTCCCTCCCCCTCGTCCAGTAAATGAACACACCGCCAACCAACTCTGGCCCCCAACTAACGTCTCCAGTGCACCGCGCTGGAGCATATTACTGTGGTCGTGTCATTTGCAGGCAGATGTTAATCACTCAAGCCCTGCAGAGATCGGGAGCACAGCCCCTGCAGGGCGACGCGGGCACGACACGAGCTCAATCCCCAGTGTAACTCCCCTGCATTGCTGATGAGCCAGTGAGCGTCGGCGCCCACACGTTCGAGGCGTGAGCCAAGCACGCATCAGGAACGTGCGAGTAACATATGTGATGAGGCCGGCTGAAGGTCAAACTGATGTATTACTTTACCCCGATGACATCAGTGTTGGCTTATTTCTGTGCTTCATTGACAGAGCGGAGCACAAAGCGAGCACCCGCAGCACGCAGCCGTAGGCGCAATGTCTCCGACCATTTCTGATGCCATGCCAGTGACAGTGGCATGCTAAATGATGCTCATGCATCAGTGGTGCTGCTTTGGTGAAAATGCCGTTTGGTGTAAGAGCACGACATTATCGAGCGTAACAAAAACTTTGCAATCAGTATGTGTTTAGAAATCAAACCAAGGTTGTGTTTGCGTAATAAACGCGATACACTTTATTAGCAGCCCTTTTATGTAACACCAACGAGGACTGTGCCCAAAGTGGCGCCAGGGCCCAAGACGAAGCTCTGCATGTGAGAATTGAAGGCCAGCGTCACTGTGGCATCTTTCATAGGCCGAAGAGTGCGAAAACACACAAGCTACATTTGTCTACAATAAAGTAGTAAAGTGCCATGGGACACAGATGGATAGCAAGTACAGCAAAGGTCCTGCCGCTTTCGCCCGATACAAAATCTTACCTAAGTCACTCGCAAACTCAATTTCGTAGATTTGTCACCAGCGTTGTTACCAGAGTTGCATTGCGTAAACAACCGTTTCTTTGTTCTAAGCCTTATCACAGAAATACTCTTTCTGTGGGCAAAAAATCTGCGAGACAAATCTAGTAACGTCATATCGCATAGCCCTCGTCATCGGCCGGCTGAGGTCTCACTTTGGACAGTCTACATGCAACATAAAACACAAACACGCACTTTTCATGCAAACCTTTAGTTCTCATCCCGATCTCCTGTCTGTAAAGGTTTGTCCAAACATACTCATGCTTCCGTTATACAGCAGATCCCATCGCACGACGCCTTTAAACGAGACTCTTGCTTCATCGCATCCACTGCCGTCCAAGCGTGGGTCTCTCTGCCCGTGTTTCTTAATCCCGACATAACAGGCGCCTGCCCGGATTGTCGCGAAATCTGCGCGCGCGACGGATTCAACCGTCGTGACGATCCGCGGCATGACTTTTCGGACCGTCCGAATACCGACACCGTCCCTGCACCTGCGAGAGGCGACCTGTTTTGACATTTAACTGGGACGAGTTGTGCGAAGGTCAAGCCATCGCAACATGCCGCAAAGCCCGGGCAGCGATGGATGTAGTGTCCGCTCACGCAGGTGACTGACAACTGAGGCAGACGCTGAAATCTTAGAAAAAATGATTGGAGCGCACTGTGCATCTCTGATATGCGAACTATCGTTATGTGCTAAAGGCGGTGTTATACCAGCATCAACGGCGCCGGCTCTTCGCACAGCGCTGTAGCCATGACCAGCTGCACTTCAGGTATTCAGTGTCATGAGTGCGTGGAAAAGCGTTGCACAGACAGTGTACCAGGGTGATCCACGATGGTTTAGCGGTTATACGTGCCATCTCAGGGACGGGGGCGAGGAGGGAAGGGGCACGAGGCTAAGGCTCCTCAGTGTCATGAGGTTTGGACGAGATGCCTGGTCGTCTGGCAGGAATTCGGTCCAAATTAGCAGAAGATCAGGAAATTTTCCATTGCACCCCCCCCCCTCATTTGAGGAAAATTCTGGCCACGTGCCTATGTTACCTGTGATGGACTTCGTGCTGCCGGGCCAGAAGAAGCGTTCAGTTGCGGGCAACGCAGATACCGGCGCTAATAGGGTCGCCTCTTCCCGCAGCAAAGCAAGCGGAACACTCTTGTACCTCCTAAATATCAGTCATGTAATTGTCCCTATTTTTCATGTCATGATATCAACGCACGCGCCCAACAAGCATTCGTCGACTGAAATAAGATACGAATGGGGCGATTTATTCTGCAGTCAGTAAGACGAAGCCCGTGCAATTATGACGGATTAAGGATACTCATTCTACGAACTGATCGATGAAAGTACCAGGCTTAGAACGCAATCCCCGAATGATGTCTGATCAAGTTGGATCCGCCATTCTGTAGCGCACATTGCCGAAAGCACAGGGAGCCGCGTCCATCTGGACAGCGAAGGGCAGTGCGTTGAAGACGATCGATTTGTCGACGACACAGCGGCAAGAGCCGGCGGCAGTCAGGGTGCAGCACCATGACAACACCAGAGGTCCTCAGAGTTGCCATGGAGACGCTACAAAAGAAGACAAGTATGCTGGCCCACTGGCGCCCGTCGGCTTTCGCCGTCTCTTGGCGGATGATTTCCTCGCGTCCTACGTGTGCGCTGTTCAGGCACACCAACTTGCGAAACGCAAGCAAGCGACGCAGAAAATATCGCCATCTCCATTTGTCTGCACCCCACAGCGCACACTGACCGGGACATACTGAACCGCGTCTATCGAGGCGGGAAAGAGCGCGGAGGCCAAGCCTGGAAAACAGTTGGTATTACGAAACTCGTCGACAAAGAAACTGAGTCTTTGCTCAATAGCTCATCGGATGCGAAACTCACTGGAACCTGGCTGCCAGAGGCGGAAGCGGCAAACAACTTGGTTAAAGGCAATTACGCATGCGCCGGAGACCAACGAAATCGTTGAACGAGGATCGAAGAACTCGCAGGTTTCGATGGCGCCCGAGTGCCCTCTCGCTCAAGAAACTTAGGCAACTAGCCCCATGAAGTTCGACCCCGCCTTCGACGAGTCGCCGGCGAGCGGAACCGATCCTCCGGGTCCCGGCGCGAGGCCGGTACGTTTCGGCCGCGTCGGATCCGAGTCCTGGCCGACCGGAACCGCTCGGTCCGCGCCACTCCTAGATCGATACGGCCGCCGGCCGACATGCCGACTCCGTGCCGCTGCGGTGCCGGCCGTCGCGAGTCTCCCCGAAGTGGTTCCATGGGATCGGCGGACAATATCGCCGCCCCTCGGAGCCCCACTCCAACCGGTCCGCAACTGCATTGATTTCCGCGCCGCGTCGGCGGGACGTCGGCGACGGCGTCACTGTCGCACTCGCCGTGCGCCGGCTGAGACGCCGCCGGCACGTTTATCAGACGGGGATGCGCCGACATCCGATATCTCAGCCCGGCATTGGTCGGAGCTCCCAACAATGGCGCCTCCATTGCGGCCAACAGACTCCTTTCGGCGCCGGCCACGTTCCGCACGACTCCACGTATCACCCCATCTGGAAATGCTGACACCATAAACTGGGCCGTGCTGCTCCCGCGCTCGCCCCGTCCGCGCGGTCGACCCAAGGACCTCGGGGCGGCATTGGTAGGGCCGGCGCCGCCCAAATATAACAGCCGGTCCAGATCAGGCTGTTGTGTTCACTCGCGAGCCCTGGCGGCGCTGTACGGTGCTCCATAAGTGCAGGGTATGAGGCAGAGGCGTTTATTTTGGGCAGCGTCGAAGCGACCGGTGGGTGCCGCTCGAGTGCCTCTATTCATATATTTGTAGCTACTCAGGCATTTTGTTTTATTCAAATGACTGATTTATTGACGTCAGAGATCTAATAATGACTGTGTTGTTCAGGTGTGAACAAATTGAAAGGCAGCTTAGGGAAACCGATGATTTATGCTGGTCGTAATTGGTGGGGCTCCCTGATCCCATAACGAGCGTCCAGATTTGGAAAATGGCCAAGAAAGGAACCTCCTAGACTGGGCCTCTTGATCCACAATGGATCAAGAGATCCATTATACCTGGGTCCCCCAAAGCAAGAAATAGGGCTCCTGATCTAGAACAAGTCCTCATAAATCAATGAGCTTGCTTATCCAGCGAATGGGCCTCTTCATATAAAAGAGGGGCTCCTGGTGTCAAACATGTATCAAAATATTGAGCGAAATAATTGATCACACGACAATTGATCCAGTCATGATCTTTTTACACAAGAAGGCCTCTCGATCCAGCAAATAAGCCTTCTCATTCTGAAACAGGGCTTCTTTATCCGAAAAACCTCCGAATTATGAGCGCCCTTCTAACCCAGAATTTTATGATGAAGCTTGATGAAATTGATTAACTTGGTGACAAAACTTGGTAATTATTGATGCAAACGGGAGGTACAGAATTTTGCACACAGGTACCGAAATTTAAGTGCACAGATTGTGCGCTTATTCCTGTACGGAGAACCCAGGCCCCAAAAGATGCCTTATACGAAACGTGGTCTCTAAATCCATGATATGGGCCTTTTGATTCATGCAAAGGAATTCCCGATCCCGCAAACGACCTCCTTATCCCAAAACAGCCCCCCGACAGGAACAACCCGACCTGCTATTTCAGAACAGGTTCGGTTGTTCCTCTCGCCCTCGCACAGTTTCGACAAACGTGACGCGTCGCGCAAGAGCACCGCGAACTTTCCGCCAGCTGCTCCGGAATTCGACAGCGCGGACGTTCAGTAAGTTGGCGCCATAAATTTGGCGCCGCAGCCGACACCGCTGACGAGCCGAGCGCCGTCTGTTTGGGGCCGGCGGCGAAAACAACGACTCCCTAACAAGAGACAAATGGCGGCGCCACGTACAAACAGCCAGGCGCCCGCCGACGTCGCTGATTGGTTGAAATAGCGTCGGCCGCGGCCTCGGCGGCATTTCAAACGTTGCCGCGGTGCCCCGGGGCGAGCGCCGGGGCCGAGCGAGCGAAGGCTGGCGGCGCAAGCAGCCCTGAGCACGAGCCATTTAGAAACAGGCTTCGCATTCTAGATAAGACCGCATCGTCAGGGTGAAAGGTGTCTTTCCTGTCAACGACGAAATTTGGAATAGTCCGAATTGTCACCTGGAGCCAAAATTACCAGAAATCGTCACACATGATTGTAAATGCGATAGAACACACACAATGAAGATAATTTAAGTACATCATGGCATGCACATCATAAGCATTTTTGCTTCGGAAGTTTCGTTTGCACTAAGGAATCATTTGCTGGCCGTGCCAAAAGTCTCGGTCGCTAAGGCGTAGGTGATGGTGCACGAATGACCGGCGCAGCTGCGGGCTTGTAGGTTCGATTAAAACCTAAGACTTCGTGCGCACAGAGAGAGAGAGAGAGAGGCGAAAGCAAGTTTGGTCAACGGCCGTATCACGACCATAAAGGGAAGGTAACAGACCCCATACACTGTCCCATGACATACTGGGGCAATACCAGTGTTGGAGGAAAAGCTCTTGCACGGCTCAGTCTATCTGTGAAAAATAACTCTCCACCGCTTTCCTATGAGTTGCGCACTCTTTTTGATGTCACAAACTGCGTTAGATTATAATTCAATCAGCATCAAGGGATGATCAAGAATGGTCAGTTCATCAAGTTCAATAATCCAATTCTGGATCAGAAGGCCCTCAGAATTTGGAGGTCTCTCAGATCAAGAACCCCTCTTTCAGAAAACAGAGACTCATTTGCTGTATCGAGAGGCCTCCTAGTGTATCAGGATCGCGATTGCATCATTTTACGGCATCATTCGTATTCGTCATTTACAATTTCAGTCTATAAGTGCAGTATTTGAAGCAAAATTTCATAGTTTTCCGCAATGCTCAAAATTCAGATTTTAACATTGACAACCTGTGTCCCAAAAGTATTTGTTCCCCAATCCCGAGCCACTAACCAGAGACCCAACACTGGGTAACTTATTTCATGCCCTAAGTTGCATGGATGGCGGGTCAATTGGCTGCGTGATAAGACGTGCTTAGCGAAAGTGTTTAATTGTTTGGAATTTCAGGCGCCGCGATTAGTTCGTTATATGACGACGAGGTTTAGTGTTGAGCAACAATTCTGATTCAGCGCCGCTCCTGGACACAAAGCCAATATGTTTGGGAATATCTGAGTGATAACTCGGACGTGCGCGGAAAATGCAGCATGTTAAGTGATTATGATGCAACACTTTTTCGATCATAGGCGTGAGTTCATGTCACATTGACCCAGCTACAGCTAGAACGGGACTGGGTACTAAGGGTGCTGTTACGACTACAATTACACCTGGGCAATTACGATGCACGTTAAAAACGGGTTCGCGTGCGCTGAACGTTACCCGCGACGTGTGTGTGCGCACCGTGCAGGTTCATGGGCTGGGTTTACACCACAGGGGCGTGCGCCCGCTAAAAAATATTTGAGAACTGAATCGAGAAGATTTACCAAAGAGGGCAAACCATTCGGAACAAATTTGTCACCACAAGCCAGTGCCGCTCTGAAAAGTTTCGAGAAGTCACCCCTGACACTCATATTCCGTTCGAGCTAAGAGTGGCCGCCGATTTGTATGTTGGTTTAGATGTATGTATTTACAATATTCCCAGCCAACGTTCAGAAAACTCACCCGATCTCGCACTTGAGGAAGTGGTTGTTGGCCTGCTTGCCGCAGTGACCGTTGACGAAGCCCTGGGTGTTGAACCTCTCGTAACACTGGTCGTCCGACGACACCGAATCTGGCGGCGAAAACCACACCGTGGGAGGCGGCAGGTGGCAGAGGGCGAGTGATGCAGGACACTAACCCCGGCAGATGGCAGAGGGAGAGTGATGCAGGACACTAACCCCGGCAGGTGGCAGAGGGTGAGTGATGCAGGACACTGACCCTCGCGGATGGCGGAGGGCGAGTGATGCAGGACACTAACCCCGGCAGATGGCAGAGGGAGAGTGATGCAGGACACTGACCACGGCAGGTGGCAGAGGGCGAGTGATGCAGGACACTAACCCCGGCAGATGGCGGAGGGAGAGTGATGCAGGACACTAACCCCAGCAGATGGCGGAGTATGAGTGACGCAGGACACTGACGCTGGCAGATGGCGGAGTATGAGTGATGCAGGACACTGACCCCGGTGGCCCACTGAGCCAATCCATGCCTGAGTAGCGGGCGACCCACTGAGTCAATCCATGCCTGAGTAGCGGGCGTCCCACTGAGTCAATCCATGCCTGAGTAGCGGGCGACCCACTGAGTCAATCCATGCCTGAGTAGCGGGCGGCCCACTGAGCCAATCCATGCCTGAGTAGCCGGCGACCCACTGAGTCAATCCATGGCTAAGTACCGGGCGGCCCACTGAGTCAATCCATGCCTGAGCACCTTCACTGCGAGTGCCGATTGGATGCACCGCTGTTATACGTATACCAAATAAACGCAGCGGTGAGTACCAACGGAAGCATTAATAATGCGTGGGATCAATGCACAGGCCGTTAAAAATATCCGGTACAATGACGTAACTTATTTTTTGGCAGTTGCACCGCCGTTTGAAAGCTTTGGTACGTTTTTATGAAAGGGCAGTGCTTCAGCAAAGCATGGCATGACGGAACACTTTTTCGAACTAAAACAGAACCCTACGCGGCAAGGACCACATGCCGTGGTGCACTACACCATGACAGGCGTACGCTGCCCTTAAACCCGTTCCTGCCTTGCGTACTTCGCCAACACCACCGCCCGGGGGTAGGGTGCATTGAAAGCACCCAAATTGATTTCTGCCACCTAAGTGATAACATAACATGCCACGCTCAATGCCACGAAAATCATCGAAACCACCGCATGGCTTCAGAACATTCCAGCACAACTTATAGTGGTCATACAGCTTGCGATCCTACATGGCCTCTGATCTAGCACAACTTATAGTGGTTACACAGCTTGCGATCCTGCATGGCTTCTGAAAGTGACATAGTACAACCCCATAAAGTAGCATAGACCCTGAATGGTTCCGAGCATAACCAGTGTAATAATTATATCAAACATTGTACAAAAATAAAAGGAAAGAATCGCTGCCCGCAAGGGCAGCAACCAAAACAAAACAAACTAACAAACACATTGCAAAAGTCACCGGTAACGCCATAAGTTCGTGATCTGACCAAACTATTGAACATTTGGCCGCCAACCAGAATGTGTTAAACTGAACATTTGTAGCTCTACCTGGAAGGGTTCGGAAGTTGTTTCAGCAACCCGAAGACAAGCTACGTTTTAGCACCCAAGACGGTCGAGGGTCAAGTCTAGGGAAAGGCATCGTTTGGTGAAAAGTGATCATTTACTTTCCACACAGCAACATTCGGCAAGTCATCAATCAGCCTTCCAAAACAAGCCGACAGGTTTGAAATATTCAAGATGCGTAAAGAACTATGAAAACATGCAATTGTAGCCAGTTCACACGCATACGTCAGTACGCGTCACGTTCATAAAAAACTACAAACATAATTGCACGCTGCAGGCAGCTGGCCGCAGCTGAGGCCACCGTGCTGAGGCGTGGCGCGCGCTTCCCAGCCCGCTGCGCTATCACTCATCGGTCACGCGTCAAAGAGCGGCCCAGCGGCGCTGCCAGGGAGCAAAAACTCTGCGCTGCCAACCATCGCGGCGCAATCCATCATCGGAACGTGAGAAGGGGAGGGGGCACTCCAGCCTCGCCCGGCTCGTCATCGATGGCCAGCGATAGTGGCGGTGGCGGCTTCAAACCGCCGGCGGTGATTGATGAGGCGTGTCTGCGCCACAATCGCCTCACCGTAGCCGTGTTTGCGCCGCACGACGTCCGAGGAAACGGGCGCGAGTCACCGGGTCGGTGTCGTGTGTGCCTGGTGCTCACCCGGTTATGAAGGCCTGGATGGCTGATTGATGTGTGCATCTGCTTCTTGAACTCGGACACGGGAGCATCCCGCAACTCAGTTCGGGGAGGTTCGTCGCTTATCAGGGCTAGCTACCGCGCCAACTTTGTTATTTGGAATTAAACGTTTTACGTCATTTTGAAGACTGAACTTTGAGAGATTTGTGTCAGACTACTCCCTGAGGCTGTCCGAACCACTGCAATGCGAGGCATCTGTTAACCCCCATCCTGCCCGATCGTATATACTTGTTTGACTGGTTTATGATGAACAGTGCGCCTCTTATTTGGCACACTCGCGCCTGCGAACGCGAACGGGACGATCCTACGACCCTCCTTAAGCTTGCGGAACGTCGGAGACCGGGAGTAACACGTGCCATGGTGGTCGGTTGAATACCTTTCGCTTAGTAGGGGTAGGTGTCAATTTAACCTGCTCTCTCAAATTCTAACCGAGATATCAAATTGTAACGAACTAGAGACACAAACTCCACACAGTGTGTTGGACTGTATGTAGACCCACTGGCATGAAAATTTGAGGTTTCTAGTTCATGAAATTGCGGTCAGATAAAGTCAAATAAGGTCTCATACTCTAGATTGGTCAAACTCCAGATTGGTCAAAAAGTGCCCCATATCTACTCCTGCAACCGCCTTAAACCTAAATACCTGTTCTGAGAAAAGGGTAACTGGTGTTCATTCAAGGTCATTGCCATTTCTAGGCCTGAAGAGGGTCATGCCAACAAAAAACCTGCGAAATGTTTTGATTTTCTGTATTTGAATAAGTGTCAAGGATTACGTTAGTCGCCATGTTCCCAAAAACAAACTGTTGACTTGGGTCGTTTGAGGTCAGTGACTTACTCTGACATTTAGAAAGTCTATGGAAGATGTCGATTAAAGTCCTGTTATTGATAAATCTGAAATGGGCACCAAAAACCACACAGATAGGATCCTCTCGAGCAAAAAGCAAGTTAGTTTAGACATCAGTCTGACATTTGTACCCCACCCTAGGTCAACAGAATTAATCGTATGCCTAAATTATATCGTTTTATTGGCTAATCAACTATCTTGGATATATATGGCTTTGTCTAACACTTGATATCAAATATCAAAAGATATCACATTCTAAAAGCACTAGAGCACACAGACAGATCCTCTCTCCTCTGCAAAATCTTCTGAAAGGGCTCACCATAGCCCCAGATCTGGGCGCACTGCTGGTTCCTCGCCGGGCAGATGCCGTTGAAGCAGTAGCCCTCGCCGCCTGCACACACTAGGCCGTTTTTCTTGTGGATATCCATGGGACAGCCGCCCTTGTCGCCGTCGCAGAACTCGGGTACGTCGCACTCTGTCGCGGCCTTCCTGCAGAGCGTGCCCCTCGTCCGCAGCTGCAATGAAGAACGAGCCGCGTGTCAACGGCCCCGTCCGGTGCAGTCGGGTCCCTAAGACGTGTCAGCAGGCGGCTGTCCGGTGCAGTCGGGTCCCTAAGACGTGTCAGCAGGCGGCTGTCCGGTGCAATCGACCCGACCTACACAATACCATGACCACTAAGCGGGTGGGATTTCAAATTGTCATGAACATCTTCTCAAAATTGCAGACTCAAGCAGAACTTGACCAGGCCAGGGTTTTCGTGTTCGATCACCGTTGAACGACTCCAAGCAATGGTGGATTTCGCTTGTCTGTTCGGTCGCTGTTTGAAATGAATGAAATGTGACGTAGAAGAACGCATCTTTGGAGATAGTCATGACTCACATGGGTTGCGCGCTTAGAGCTGTGTAAAAAACAACGTAGACTAACATGTGTAGATTTAATATCACGGGTCGGAGTACAGTTATTTGTGTCGGATGCTTCGTCTCTTCTTCCCGCAAGTTAAAATTTCAGGGCAAGGAGATTAAACATCACACAAAAATCACACGCAGCGGGAGAAATGAGATGAAACGTCACATACTGCCCGCATTCTAGGCTAAGAAACTGATCACTCACAACCAAGAATTTGTTGATGTGGTAACAGAACTCTGTTTTACAACGCACCGACATGGTAAATGAACATTAGCTTTCATTCATGGGTTACACGAACAGCCATTAAAACGAATGCCCATCTTGTCAACGAGAGCCGCCGACTCTGACGCTACCCGTTACACATGCAGTGTAATGTGTAGCGCTCTTCAGTAAATGGCCATCTCTGATTTTAGGATCTCGGGTCGTCTTGATTGACGGAATATCTGAAGCGTTGTTCTTTCATTTTTTATCTTCCGATAAACTGAATAACACTTAACACGCTGACGATAGAAACAGTTCATAACAATGCTTTTGTTGGCGAATTCGAGTATTTTTGAGTACATCTGGGAATTTATTTTGATTGCATCTAGCGAGTCGTACCATTAACTACGCCACATTCATAAGCAGCGAGCTGGTCACGCCCGTCGCAACAAAAGGCTGTTGGAGCAATCAAATCTTGGAATGAGACGGTGCTAGGTACACGATTCCTTCGGTCGGCTGAATACCTGACAGAGCTGGATAGCAAGGCGCCAGAGCCGTTCATCGCCTCGATTCCGCCGATTCACGAACGCCCTCGCGACGGAGACGACGTCTCCAAATAGCCCAGCCCAAGACCGGAATCGGAGGGCCCGACTGAAGCATTCATATCCGGATGCCTCTTCGCGGAACAGTTTCAATGACTTCATCCAAAGATTGGATTCGGACCGCAAGATGAATGGGATGCGGGTCAACTTTGGCACGACGGACACGGCAGCCGCGCTCAGGATATTAGAAGGCTTCCTTTGTGTATAAAATGACGTATAACTGTTGCGTAAAATGTCAAAAGTTCCACTGGCATGCGCAAGTGGAACTATTGATATCATAACACATGATTTATACTGACTGCATCAGGTTGAATTATTCGTTAGTTACGATCTTGATGGCGAAATTGTCAAGCAAACCTGAAGACAGACGCGGCCCTCGATTACACGGATTGAACCACACATTAAGCAAGGTATCAGAATAGGGTTGTGCCAAAATGACTTGGGCAACGAGCTGCCTTAGGGGCTTGATTTAATGTGTGGTCTTATTGCAGCACCAGAGGCTGCGCCCTTGTTAAGCCTCGGTTAGTAATTTCGCCAAGCCATTTCGTCACTGGGAAGCGCCCGGAAGTCATCCACAGCCTGCGCCCATTACGCTAAAATAGCATATCGATGGATGAAGAGAAAGCAATGAAAGCTTACTATGACAGGCTTTAATTCAGAAACATTCCGTTTGTGAGTCTCTATTTTAGACCGTTTACGGCATTCTTGGTGCGATTTGCCGTAAATCGTTAGCCTATACTGTTTCCGAAACCATGGTGCGATAGGGAATATCCCTGAAATGATATTCTTACTTGTCTATCTATGCTGCTGGTGGGTTACGATAGTGCGCAAATACATCTAAGGCAAAATACCTATCACAAAATTATTCCTTTAATAATGATGGTCTTAGATAACCCGAAAACGATTTTGGCCGTAAAATCAATCAGCTGCAGCTGCAGGCTCCCGGGTATCAAAACCAGGCCACAAGCCGGTTTTGACATTGCCTCTCAGCCTGCACGGGAGCGCTCGCCGGCGGACCACCGCGGCCGGCAGCCTCTCCGTCGGCTGGCGAGCCGGTGGTCGGTCCGGGCGCGGTCCGGCTGACTCCGGGCTCGTTCGTCGCTGCCCCGCCGCCACTCAATTAGCGTCAGTCACCGGCGCACCGCTGCCGGGGGCAGCCCGGCCGCGGCCGCGGCGCCGTCTTCACCCGCCCGCGGCGCCGACCTCACAAGCAAAGGTCCGGCGGCACGCGCTGACCCCGCGCGCGGAGGTCAGGCCCGGCAGTGGGCCAACCTCAGCGCGGAGATCGCGCGGCCGCGGGGCGCGATGACCCGACCGCAAAGGTCAGGCGGCGCGCGCTGACCCCGCGCGCGGAGGTCAGACCCGGCAGTGGGCCAACCTCAGCGCGGAGATCGCGCGGCCGCGGGGCGCGCTGACCCGGCCGCAAAGGTCAGGCGGCACGGCTGCGCTCATCGCTCGGGACAGACGCCGCCGAGTCCTGATTTACAGCGGCGCCGCAAAAACGGCCGCGGCTCCGGTCGATGCAGGCTTGGTTCGAACCGGCTGGCCGGGCGCGCGGCCGCGCGCGCCGAGCGGCGCAGAGGACTGGCCGCCGCTGGCCGGCCGCGCGTCGGACGGTGCAGAGGGCCGGACGCTGCTGACCGGAATGGCCTGCGGCGCTGACGGTGAGGCCGAGGTCGTTGACGGGGCGGCCGAGGTCGTTGACGGGCCGGGGCCGCGGTGCCACGCGGCCCAACGGGGAGATAAGGGCCCATGCTCGCAGCGTAATGACAGGAGAAACTGCGAGGAAATGAAGGCCACCGTCTAGTGGATATGCTGGTGATGAGACGAGGCGGAGCGGCCAGAAAATCACCATCCCTGCGGGACGCGTGCCGACGGAGGCCGCAGGCTTCACATATCGTTGCCAAAGGAGCTGGAGGCTTTTACGATTTTGACATCGCCTGAAGGTATATCTTACGTATTTCTGTCCCACACTTGGACAGCAACATCTATTTTGCTGAATACTTTTATTGTGAGAGTGCTGGTGAAGCCACATCGGTGACGCAGTCGGGCGACGCGCACGAACCAGTGAAGATACACGTCTCTGGTTCTACTCTAACAACGTTAGGATCTCCTTCAACTGGCCTCCACCCGGGAGATAACCTGGGCTTTGACGTAATTGACATATTGCGGGATTACCGCCGTGTCAGCCAGCGCTCTCTGCACTAGGTTCGTGGGTTGTCTGCCTTTGACCGGTGCCCTCTGGTCCGGTGAAGTCGGCCGAGGACGCGGTCTGGCGTCGCGCCTTCGGAAGAGCCCGTCTTCCTAGCGCAAGAAATCGAGACAGGCCTGTTCCATGCGCACGCTCCACGGCTCGGACCCTGACAGCAAACAAGTGGCCAAGGTTGTGCGAAAACGAGATGAAATTGTGCCATAAAAACAACTCTGCAGTGTGGTTTGCATGTGAGATTAATTACGTGTCTGTATGTGGGTGTGCATCAGAAAAACTCTTGTGGTAGGGTGACAAATGCGCTTGAAAAGCATAGGCCATTATTCATTGAGTGTACAAATCGGGGCCATGCCCACGTTTTCGCCCACCAACTTTTCCTTCGGGCCTGAAGATGCCTGGTAAGCGCTAGCTAGGAACAAATGAAAATTTTCCAGAAAGGTTGCAGTTTGACGCACATTTTGAAATATATGGGAGTGTGCATGTCATTGAGGCTTTACGACACACTCAGCCGCTGCAGCTATATGGCGTCGCCCCGCTCTCAATCTGGCAGGAGGGCCGCGCAGATGCATGCCAGTGAAAACTAGTATATGTCAAGCACAGAGCGCAAAACAGTGATGCATTCCCTGAGCTCAATAATCAATGCAAGCCATGACATGCAATATGCGCATGGCAAACGTCCTTGAACCAAACAGCCTTGCAACCTTGCATAACGGCGATGACACGACGCCGCGCTCACAAGCCAGTTGCCACCGCACATGAAACATCGCGGGGCCAAACCGAGCGCTTGTTTCGTGATCACCGGAAAACCAAAGATAGAAAACAAGCTGCCGTTGGCTGTGACTGCGAGCTGGGACTGCGCGTGTTTTTCTTCTCTTGGCCGCAAGGCTGGCAGGCCGGGCACATTTCAGCGGCGATACGCTTTGATCCAGATTAACCCGGGGGCGTGTCGTGTTGCGGACGTCGGCGGCGCGCCGGCTCAAAACACGGCCATCGGACACCCGGCGAGAGGCGCGCGGCCCGGCGCGGCCCGCCACTCCGCAGGTTACAAACAAGGCGGCGGCTGCCAGGGAGCGGGTGGCCTCCACACAGCCACGACGGGTGTGGTGCGGCGACGGAGACGGAGACAGAGCAGAGACGCGATCTGACCGGCCGCTCAAGGTGGTGAGGCCAGCTGCAGGCTATTGGTGGCAGGTGGCTGGATTTTGATGCCTAGTGTTATTCGCGGTGAGAAAAACCTTGACATGAAATTTGGCTAGTTCCGTCCTTTATGTCAATTCTGCGAAACCATGTACCCTCTATGATCATGACACACACACTGGTCACACGCTGGTCATCGCTTCAGTCGTTCCGCAGCTCCGCCACTGCATCTCTGTTTGAGGGAATGACACCCAAAATAATAAATCTGAGCTGATTGGGAAGGTGATGTGCTTTGAGAAAGTGTAGTGCTTTGCCCCGGTTGAACCCCACGCGCTCGTCCGCGAATTCTTGACGGCGCCCGAGACTCGCGCGCAGCCGCGACGCGTGTGGTGCGGTGGTGGTCCCATTGTCATAGTACAAACGGTAGTTTAATGACACGTACTTTTCTTCCAACCTCGTA